AATGTAATAGCTGCAAAGCTGTATTAAAAAGGATTGTTACCTACTTCGTAGTAAGTTCAAGCATTGGAATTAGCGCCGAAGGTTAAAATTTTGCTGATATTTGGGTAGGCATGCGTCAGGAATATGTACATAAAACATTGTCTTGCGGTTGAAACGTTTCATGTTTCTTACAGTACATAAAAAACAATTCACTCGATCGACGTAGAAATCAGTCTGAAGGAGTGGCCACTACTAAGAGCTGCGTATGCCGCGAAGTGACGCTAGTCCTTTGAACTCCAGGAACCTCATTCTCTTTAGTAGGGCAATAAGAATGCATGGAATTCAGGTCATTCGCTGCAAGGAGGAAAAGATAAGACTTCCTAAAGATAAAAACCAACTCGACCAAATCGTGCAAATCTGCGATTTACCGAAAGGCCAAGGAAGATTTGTTTCCAGTTCGTTTTAAAATTTATAGGTGTCTTCCTTCCCCTTTCGCCTGAGGGGTGAAGAGAGAGAGACAGTTTGTGTTTTCTTTCGGGAATGGACAATTAGCTTGTATAGAATTGTTATTATTTCTATACGTTAAGAGTAAGTTGTAAAACCATTTCTATGTTAAATTTCGACAAAAATAAACACGTTTTCTACATAGTGATACTTAGCAGACGATTTTTGCAATGAATGTTTGCTTTGCTTGTAATACGTAATCATGGTGTGAATGCACGACAGTTTAAAAGCGATTTCGTTTGTAGAAATGGGGAATTTAGTGTATACTTTTACTTTCTTGTACGAAGTGAAGGAAGTATTGTAATCGGGAAAATTTTTTAATTCTTTTTATTGAAAATTTTATTATTTTAGTTCTGTATTAAATTGGGTGAATATAATATTAGAATTGCAGATGTTAATTAAAAATTTTTTCACCTATTTTGCATTAAAAATCTTTATTTATAAATTTTCTTTTCTATTCTGGATACTTACGTATTAATCTCGGCACAATTTGATGAAAAGGTAGAAGCGTCATATCGGAAGTTACTTATTGATGATTTTCGTGCCTTTTTTAAAAAAGATTCCTAAAGTATCGATATCTAAAGTAAGTAGGTAAACATTATCAGCATATGAAAAGAGAATATACTTTAGCAACTTAAAATACAAATTTTAATTATTAAATAAGGATTGCATGATACATAAAAAAAAAAAAAAAAAAAAAAAAACACATTTTTCATCAAAACTTTCTGTAGCAATGGCCCTCTTTCGAACTGCATAGCGATCTATCTTCGCTTTAAAAAAATTGCAGAATTGCGGAAACTTGGCTTTTTGCTAACCTTGGCTAGCACAAACAGCAGCAGCTATCTAGGAAACTCATTTTGTCGTTGTTCCCTTTAAAAGAAATTCAGCACAATTCTGTATTACTGTAGAAATTTTACCGCAGTTTCTTCCATCACTGGAAGCAAAAAATATTACGACTTGTTTATAAAAAAAAAAAAAAAAAAAAATTGGTATTTGGGATATAACAAAAAAGAGCGCATGCGAAAATGACGGTGTTGCTTGACTGAAGGATTGTTATGAGTATGGTTGCCGGAAGAATGGTTGCCAGAATTTCTCACATTCTAAAATTTTTGTGACTTCTACTAAGGTGGTTGCATTAACTACGAAAGTACCTTATTCTGTTTGTATATTGTTCTGCTATTCTGTATTGTGTAGGTAACTGCTTCCCTCCTTTCACTTCGCATTTAGGTTCTAGTGTAGAATTGGGTGCCCCTTCGATTAGCGACAATTTTTTGAAAAATTTTGGCGATAAAATCTATTTCTGGTTACCATGATAGTTTAACTTTGCTTTAGCCTCCTGTTTTTTTTAAATAAAAATAGATTGATGTGTACATGGTCAAATTTAAAGCAGTGCGCATTGCTAGTTTGTGCAATTCTGGATGTTTTTTTTAAGTGAAAACAGATCGATGTGGACATGACCCAGTTTATGCAATTTTGACTTCTTATTTTGGTTTTGTGTAGCGGGCATCTTGAAATTGTGTCTTTCTGGCGCCGATCTTGGCGTCAACAAAGAATCGCCAAAAAACAAGAGCACCCAATTGTAAACTTTTACCCGCATTTATTTTTCTTAAAATAATTTTTGGTATGCTATCTTTGTTTACATCATTGCTTTTTGTTTTGGGGGGGGGGGTAATTTTAGCTGTATCTTTAAGTTTGAAACTAGCTTTTTTTTTTTTTTGCCTTTATTAATGTGAAAACATCAATGACAGAATACACAATGTGTAAAGTAAGTTTTAAGATTGGGCCTGTAAAAAAAATGAAAATTAGAAATTAATACCTGTTTTGGTTTTTTATTAAAAATAGGACCATCCGGCTTCAGTACACTTTTTACAGTGGTTTATTAATGAATCGAACACCTGTTGTAAATCACTTTGTGGAATGGCCTGCAAAGCATGCATCAAAACTGCTTGTGTTGTCAAAATATCCTCAAAATAACACCCTTTTAACTTCATTTTAAGTTTTAGGAATAAAGAGTAGTTAGGGGGTGTTAAATGGGGTGAATATGGTGGATGGTTCAACACACAGACATTATTATTTGCCAAAAATCGACGAACAATAAGAGAGATGTGACTGGGTGCATTGTCCTGTAACAAACACCAACTGCTTTCAGCCTGATAGTCTGGACGAATTCTGGCCACCAAATGCTTTAAAACAGCTAACTAGTATTGACCTGTAATGATTTGTCCAGTTTGAACAAATTCTTTGCGGATAATACCTTTACTATTGAAGAATGTAATGAGCATTGTTTAGATTTTGGCTGGAACTTTCCTTGTTTTTTTTTTTTTTTTTTTCGCTTGTGGTGAATTTTGTAACTTCCATTCTGCGATCTTTGTCCTTTGTTTCAAGATCATATTGGAAATACCACATTTCGTTATCTGTAACAATGGACTTCTATAAGTTTGGATCATGTTCAGCGCCTGAAATAATGTTTCTGCAATGTGCACTTCTCATTGCTTTTCGTTCAGGGATTAAAATGTGTGGAACAGATTTAGCACACACTTTTAGTTTGGTCAAATCTTCATGCAGGGTTGTTCAAATTGTTTCTTTGTTGATGTTTCAAGAGTCTTCCATCGTTCTCAGTTTTAAACTTTTTTTTTTTTTTTACGAAATTTTTTACTTTTTTAATACCTTGAAGTATCCTAGTTGAAATTGGTCTTCGCTGATCATTTTCTACCGTATCTCTTCCATCCAAAAAACGTTTGTGCCACAGAAAAACAATTGTTGTACTTAAACTACAGTCACCGTAAGCTAGTTTCATGAGTTGGTATGTTTCTGAAGTACTTTTACCAAGTTTGGCATTAAATTTAATTACAGCTCTTTGTTCCATCGTAAAAAATCAGGAAAAATTTCATTTCTGCAATGAATGCTTGCCTTCTCTCAGCTACTAAATAAAATGTGCACAACTTGATAGCAGTGTGCCAGCAGATGATGGACGTTATGTTGCATGCGCATTTACACTCACAGTGCCATTACAACCTGCGCTCTGGGATGAGTCCTGAAACTTATTTCATGCACTGTATACTAATTAAAAAAAGGAAACAATTCTATATAAAAAAACTGAGACCATTTATTAACCCGTGAGCACATGCACCGGGTATTTTTGACCCAATGTTTCCTTTTGTTTGCAGATATTTTAGGAATTTCTCAAAATTTGCACCTGTCATATCTGGTATTTTATTGTGTAGTCTAGTAAAAGGGTATTCTATGAAAAGAAACTTTGAAAAACAAGTTTTGGTTATTCTTTACTCTATGGTTTCGCTTGGCGAATCATTGATTTTTTGACACCAAGATTGGCACCACGAAGGATCGGCACCAATTTCAAGATGGTGCTGATCCTTTTTGACGCCAACATAGGCACCACGAAGGACTGGCACCAATTTCAAGATGGTGACGATCCTTTCACCCCCTACAGAAAATCAAAAAAAGAAATAAACACTTACACAAACTCGATGTCCATGTACACATCGGCCTGTTTTAACTTTAAAAAAAAATCGGAGAATTATTCAAACTAGGCATTGCTTACTAATTTTAGCCATGTACACATCAACCTATTTTAACTTAAAAAAAAAATCAGAGAATTCCACAAACTAGGCATTCCGCTCTTAATTTCACTTTCTCCATGTACACTTCGATTTCTTATCACTTAAGCAAAATCAGAAAGTTAAAGTTAAAACTATCATGTTAACCAGAAAAAATTCGCCGCTGTGTTAGCACACAGACACGAACAAATAACCAAAAATACACAAAAAGAGTAATAAATAACCAAAAATACGTATTTAACACCAATAAATAAATAAAACGTCAATTCATTAAAAAAATTTAGGGTTAAATTGACCCAGTGCATGTGGTAATGTCATAGAAAAGGGTGCATGTGCTGAAGAAATTTAAAAGGCTAAAAGACTTTCTAACATGCTTTTTGATTTAGTTTTAAGAAAATAAATTGTGCTAAAATTATACTTATATAAAAATAACATTTGTGATAATCAGTTAATTATCTCCTGTATGAACACAGATTGACACTAATTAAATTACAAAAGAACAAGATGATAGACAGTTTCAACAAAGAAATCATCCCAAAATTGTTACTCTAATAGGGCAATATAATTGTAACCTGTTTTAAAATATAACTGAATTTAAACTTTCAGAAAATTATCCTTTTCCCCAATGCAGATATTTAATTTACTATCTTTGAATACAGAGTTGAAATTATTCCTGTTAATTAAACGTCATGTTTTTTATTGACACTAAAACTAATATGGCATATTTATCATTATGTACATCTAGTCCATATTTATGTGTTTTAGTTGTGAAAGCGTGCATTGTGGGGAAATTAAATATCTGAGCAATTGGTATGTATTGATGTTAGAGAGGCACCTTCCCCCCCATACTTCTAATAATATGTCTCACATTTCTTTGTTATCATTGATTTTTTTTTCCCCCGACTGTACTTGTTACTGATTAAACTTTTTTTTTAACAGGAAGCTGCTGCTTATGTACTGAAATTAACATCTGACAAACATGTTAGAGATTATGAAGAGCCAAAAAATGATCCAGTAAATAGTATTTCTAAAGTAGCAATTCCAAGTATGTATATTTTATTCATATTTTTATGGTGTTATTAATTTTGGTTTCTAATAAAAGTTATTGTTATTTGTATGTTTTGTAACAAGAAGAAATGCAAGAATGATAATGGTATCTGATTTTTAATGTGCCTTTAATGGGCAGATTTTCTGAATCCTTAAATGGTACTCAACCTTTTTGAATATACATTTGTGTTTTTTTGAGTTTGCCTTTGTTTGTGTATTTAAAAAGTTTATGATAGCATTGGAAACCTGTATAATAGATTTTATATTATATCTTTGCAAATTAATTATTAGTTATGATAAAATATGATTGTTTATAGATCTTGTTAAAAAATTCATAGATGCATATATAAATATAATGCCTTGAAAACAAAACAAACTAATGAATTATAAAGTAAAAAATCTGATGTGTACACCACATGACTGCCTTGTACAGAATATATGCATTTTTTTCCTACATTTCATGTTAACTCATTTCCTCGAATTTCATAAGAGATGTATTTCTCGTTCAATTAATTCAGTTCTCACTTTATGAGAATTCAAAAATACATAAAACTTCAAAATATCTTTATTAAAAATTGAAAAATATAAAATATAAATACAATTAAAACAATTTAAAGAACAATTTTTACAATTAAAATTAGAATTTCTTCCCCAAAACAAGGAATTTGGCCAAGTTGTGGACGCTAGGCTGAGCAAATACATGAGATAGTTTAATAACTTAAATGATAATTCCAGAAGGGATTAAACATGATTTAATTCGCAATAATAAAAGAAGACGTTATCTTTGTTATTCAATTATTTTTGAAGTAAAAAATGCACAATTTACCAACATACAAGAATAAAAAAACTGAGCTCATGGAGCCGAGTAACAGACTCCCACCAAAAAAGGAGGTGCACAACTACATGCTGTAGCAGTCCTATATACAAAATTTTAATGTTCTAAGGCTGCTCATTACGTACAGATGTCACGCAAAAACATCGATAAAATGGATTCGATAGCAGTCGTAACAGATATTTTCGGTGAAATATGGTAATTTTTTGCGATTACAATACTTCCTTTACTTTGTACAAGGAAATAAAAATTATGATTAGAGGTTTAGCTATACTTTTTAGTTGTACAGTTGCTGCACATGGTAAATCAAACTTTGTCGTGTTTATATGTGCTAAGACTGTTCATAATTTTAACCAACTAATTTGTTTTTAAAACATTATATGTCCTGTTTAATTGCATCACCTCAAGCTGTAGTTGATTATTTCAACATAGGAACGTGCATGTATGTTCTATTTTCTTTTTAAAATAAAAGGTTTATTTAAACCTTTATGTGACTTTGTAGTTACTTTCAGACATAGCGATAATTTGCTTCATGTCTCTAAGAGAGGTTTTGGACTATTTAACTTTTACCAGATCAAGTAAAACCTCATTACGTACACTGTTAAAAGACTGGCAAATTAGGAGATAAAGCATACAGAAACAAACAAAAATGTTTTGTAGCTTTTAATGTGGAATTACTGTAATACCATTTAAGAATCAATGTTTGGACATTGATTTAAAACTTACAATTTAAAATTACATTCATTTTAAACTGTGAAATGTTACTAGATTGTGATTTTAACAATACTTTTTCAACAAATGTTTTTAAAAAATAAATAACAATTAATAGTGGCCATGTAAATCTATAACAATTAAGGGTATTTAACTATGTAATTTAATTGTTTGTATCTGTTCATGTGATGTGTGCATTGTTATACAACAACTCCAATTTAACTAGATGTGGACTGTACTAATTAATATTTTATTCTAAAACCATAATCACATGCATGCCATCTTTCAAGCGATGACTTACTACTAACAACAACAGCAATAAAAAACTGAGTGAGCATTTACAGGGTTGCTGCAATGAACATCTGCATCATGCAAGGTGCCAAGAAGAGAAAAAATGATGTAAACTTGCAGCTAAATAGTCCTAATGACTTAACATACCCCCCAGCTTTGAAGGGTTACTTCAATAATTTCGTGCAATAATACTCATAATAACATATAAAATTGTGCAATTACAACCTTACAATAAAGCAACACGAATTATATATGTTAATTAAATACAATAATATTCAATTTCCAATACAAAATTTTATACACAATACAAGTTTTATAATAATAAGTTAACACAATTAACTTAGCTTCTTCCTGGGATTAAAATTGCAATTTTTGTAATTCCACACTTAAAATGATGCCTTTTGCTGTATGTATTTCGACTAGTCTAACCTTACCGTCAACTCCAAGAAAAAGTCTTGTAATGCGCCCTAACACCCATCTACTGACAGGAAGCTCATTCTCCTTAACTAGTACTAGCATACCGATTTTAATATTCATTTGTTCTACCTTCCATTTGGAACGCTGTTGTAGTGTGTTTAAGTAGTCCTTATGCTAATGATTCCATATCAGTTGGCAAATCTAGTAGTTCGTTTCCATCTTGAGAGTCTGTTTTCAGGTACTGGGTGGCCATAATTAAACTGACAGTGCTCACAGTGTTCTGTAGTGCGATCTATTTGCGAGAATGACGCCACATTTTATAGGAAGATTAAACAAGATGGGGGGGGTGACAAAGGATTCCGCGAAAAAACAAATTAGTTCCAAAAGTCACCGCTAGGGGAATATTTGGCGCTGTGTAATAGAAAATAGAGTGTTAACAAATGCAAATTAATACGGAATAAAATTAGCTTTTATTATGCACATTTTCTGATTTAGTTCAAGTGCAATATGGCAGCACTTTTAGAAAAGCGTAAAATCTACATAATATTATAAAACACCAATAAAGTTTCGTGATCTGCAATATCACGTACGCTGAGCAGAAGTTCTTTATTCAAATTTCACGTTACATCCATTCTCACAGTGCCAACTGCTTGGGTTTTAAAAGGCAGTGTGTTACGTTTCGAATCAATCAGATTGAAAGTTTATGTGCAATGTCTCCTTCTTTAGTGAAGCGTGCGTTACTGGTCAAATTCTTTTACCTCAACCAGTGCAACGCGTCAGCCGCTCTTCATGCTTTTAGAATGCACAAAAAAATGCGTAAAGGTAACAGTCCTGTGTCAGTTAATGGGCTAAAAGCAATGGTTGCGACGTTTGAGAAAACAGGTTCTCTGAAGGTTCAGTCAGGCAGAGGACGAAAACCTGTACAACAGGATACAATCGAAGCAATTGCGACGGCGATTGTCGGCAGAGGACCAGACAATATTGCTGCCACATCTAGCGCTCATGGAGTAGCTCGGAATATGGATATGCCTTACAGTATGGTATGGAAAATCTTACGAAAGATTCTCAACTTCTATCCATACAAGATCAGCCGTGTACAGGAGTTACTGTACCCCGACCATGATAAGCGATTGACTTTTGCTCTGACCTTTCTTGCCAGAATGGAGGTGGATGATACTTGGCCGTGGAAAATCTTATGGGGAGACGAGGCCCACTTTTACCTGAATGGAACTGTGAATACCCAGAACTGCTGAATTTGGGATGACAAATCACCACATGCAGTCACAGCAATTCCCTTACATTCACCAAAGGTAACTGTTTGGTGTGGGTTCACAGCAGGAATTTATCGTAGGTCCATTCTTTCTATGAGAACATTACCCCGACAGGACCGGAAACCTGTTCTGTTACCGGAGAGAAATATTGCCACATGTTGAACAGCTTTGTCATTCCGGCACTTCAGCAAAGACAATGCCTGGGGGAAATCATTTTCATGCAAGATGGAGCCCCTCCACACGTTGCTGTACGGGTGCAACAGATGCTATGACAGAAATTCACAACAGAAAGAGTCATTAGCCACTACTTTCCAACTGCATGGCCACCTCGGCCGCCTGATATTACCCCATGCGACTTCTGGCTATGTGGTTACCTTAAGTCCAAGGTCTATCAGGGAGTGGTCCAGGACCTGGCTACGTTGAAGGATAACATATCACGGACTGTAAGGGAGATTCCTGGAGACATGTTACTTTCTGCTGTTGTGCATACTGTGCACAGAATGCAATATGTGGTCCACAACAACGGCAGCCACATTGAACCTCATTTGAATGCAAAATAAAAGGTAATTTCCATATTGATTTGCATTTGTTAACACTCTATTATCTATTACACAGCGCCAAATATTCCCCTAGTGGTGACTTTTGGAGCTAATTTTTTTTTTCGCAGAATCCTTCGTCCCCCATCTGCTTTAATCTTCCTACAAAATGTGGCGTCATTCTCGCAAATAGATCGCGCTACAGAACACTGTGAGCACTGTCAGTTTAATTATGGCCACCCGGTATATCAATTAATTTGAGTTCTACTATAGCATTCAATGGTCTTCTGATGAGAAAATAGCCTGTTGTTAAGGCCTCTAAATCATTTACATTGGAAGATAAGGGAGTAATAGGGATAGTAGATAGGGAGAATTTAAAACAGACTCTATCTGAGTTACTACAGTTAATAATTTCTCGAAAGTCAGCCTTGCATTACCTACAATCCGCTTTAAGTGATATTTCATGGATTAAATTCCAGGTTCCCATAGTCCACCAAAATTAGGTGTCCATGGGGGTAATAAATTTCCAAACAATTCCTTCTTCACCTAAATAATCTGCTAATTTTTTGTCAGGATTTCTAATTAAATTGCTAATTCTTTGCAATACGGCAGTTGTGCCAACGAAGTTTTTTGCATTGTCTGAAAAAATGATTGAGCATTTTCCGCGTCTAGCAATAAATCTCTTTAAGGTGGCAATAAATGCGTCAGTGGTGACGTCACTCACTAGTTCGAGATGCCACTGCCTTTGTTATAAGGCAAATGAAAAGAGCTAAATATACCTTATGAAGAGTTCCTTTCTTCTGTCCCTTGTACCTAATAAAAATTGGGCCGCAAAAACATATCTGCCGTCCTTGCCTCCTGTGTATATGAAGAAAGTGCTGTTCACAAAATTCCTCTTCCTGACTTTCACTTTTTTTGCTTCATTAATACCTTCAATCTC